TTAAACATCAAAGATGATTCAATTTCTCATATAAATTAAATAATAACTCAGACTTGATATTACTAGCAACTGGTCCGAATATAAAATTTATTTAATATCAAGAAGTAAAGATTTGCTTTGTAAACTGAAATGTTAAACTTATATTTAAAGACAAAAGTGTCTAATTTGTTTTTTAATGATATTAAACTTAGGGTCAGAGCAAATAGAAACAAATTAATTTTAGCCGTTGAATAAGTTATTCTTTTTTTTATGAGCTATTAAATGGTTTATTAATTGCAGTGAATTTCACATATAGAACAATTTTAAAAGTCTCAAAATATCACAAAAAATCAAATCAAATTATATTTATGCAATATCTATATTTAAGCAGATTAAATTCTTAATAAAAAAAAAGGCGTGCACATTATATTAAAAATTATATATATATAATTATTTTATATTATAAACTGAAATATTTATTCTCTTTCAGCTCGCTAAATGTTCTTTTTCCATTAAATTGTAAATAGAAAAGATATTTTTGTAATATTATAGATTAAAAAGATCATGAATATTACGTTATCCATGTCTTTATTCAGCATATTGGAGGAGCTTTGACTTATCCATAGCTCTATATAAAATATAATAGTCTAGTGAAATTATTATTTTACCTGGGTTTGTTGTAGAAAAATGTTTTTCTGATTTGCAGCAATATATAACACAATTAAATATACATATAGTTTTTATCACATCTACACAAGATTCAAAATGAAGTCCGGTGCATACAATGTTAGATGTCTTGACGAAAGCCGTGATGGTTTTATGTAAACAACAGATCCATATTTTGACCACAGCGCCTAAACGTCGTTATCAGTTATGATTGGTTTGGTTTGTCTTTCTACGGTCATCTTGTGCACACTTTAGGCTAAATACACCGGGACCTACAGTTTAACGGGGATTCCGAACCACCAACAAACATCCATGCCACCGGCAGGATTCAAACCTGAAGCTTTCGGTAGCAACGGCCAGAGTGCTAACCACTTGGCTATCAGGCCGTTATCAGTCATGAAGTTATAATCTTTCATAAAATTTTAATAGGATTTAAAATGTTTTAATATTTTATGGTAAAATTTTAAATTTTGAATTATTACCGTAGATTTAGCATGCATATTTCTATTATTTTATTAAAAATAGTTCACTTATATAACAATGCTACTATCAATCATTATTATCCTTTGTTTCCTGTTGCTATCTAGAAATGAACAGGAAAACCATAAAATTTTGATACAGTTTTGAAAGTGTAAATTTAATAATAGGTAATTGCGTATACACAATACTTGTTGAGAAAGTTATCAATAGAAAATTTTGAATAAAAGTGGAACTTGAATATTCAGTAATTTTCCAATCAAAGAGATCCCGTAGGGGCTAAACTATACGTCGATATTTAGTTAAGAATATTTAAAAAGATTAATGAAAAAAATACTTACACGTATTCATAGCTGTGCCTTCAGTGCATGTAGTATTGTAAATATTCAAAACATCCTGTACGACTGGTTCCGATTCAACGTTGCAGTCTCTCGCTCCATTACGAATACATTCTACCAGTGCATTATCATCACTGAAAAATAACATAATAATGTATAAATTTTATGTTAAATACTCAGAACTAATTTTTTAAAAACAATCAATTATTATTTATGTGGAAAATGTATATATATATATATATATATATTTCTTGTTTAATATTCACCTCGCTATTCGAATTGATACAAGAAATTCAATTGCATTTGTAGGAAGGCTACATATCTTTAAAAAAAAAGGGATTGTAACTTATGCTACCAGCGAGATTCAAATTCACCAGCTAGGTCAACTTTTAGTAGATATTTTAAAGTATTGTAATTTCACACTTATCAAGTTCCAAGAATTTTTTCGCCTGTAAAAATAATTTTGTCTGAGTTAATCGGAATATTTCTAATAATAAGTCGCCAAATCTTATATTTCAAGTCTCCGCTAATGGAGCAAAAGCTTTTCTGGATTTTAAACGGAGATAATTTACTAAGGGCGTTTTCAGGCAACTACACCACCAGAAATCTAACAAATGATAATACCCATTCAATTTTCTTGTCCAGAGAGTCTTCAAAATTAATATCCTAAGAAATTGTATCCAAGAAAAAAATTTGACGAATGAAAGCCTTCGGCAGGGTACGTAATTTTTAGGGAAAGAAATCATGGAATGGAAAAAAAAATTGGGGTACCAGATTGCTTCCATCCACCATCCCTACAAGGGAAAGTAAATTTTTGCCTTAATGCTCATCAAGATCTATACGGTAGGACCACCTCCGATATACGACCGACCTCCACCCTTACAGAGATATCTAAGAAATTGCCCATCACTTGAATCTGAAGCAACTCACACGAAGACCTAGTAATTGATAACCGGCTGCTATACCCAGAAACTGAGGAGTATCTCCCGTCTACTATAAGCGGGAGTTAAAGAGATGTGTAGCCGACACGAGAGCCGCAACTCCATCTGAACTCAATTCCAAGGTTCCCTATTCCTGGGACACGAATTGCCTTGCAACGCAAACACGTAATTCAGAATACTGACATTTGAAACAAAAGTTAAACATAGTTAAAAGGATAAATAATTCAGGTATCCAGAAAATACAAAGCAATTTAAATACCTAAAGATAAGAAAATATAAATTCAAAGGAGACATAATTCACTAAAATTAATATGAGATCTGATGTATTTCCCTTTTCTACTGTCGAGACATTATAGCAATGAGTTGCAACAGGCTATTACGAAAACGATGAGATCTGGACGGTGGAAAGGTAATAAAGAAGACAAAAGAATGAAGGTAAAGATCATTGCTTCGCCCTAGGGATATGGCACGAGTACACACTAAAGATGTGAACGGCTTTAGAACAAATCTTCCTTTCTTTTGAAAATTAAAATGATTTTTCCATTAAACTGATTTAACATGTGCATCTTAAATACAGGCACTGGAGTTTGCGTTTGGCTTCATTTGTCAGATTTCAAATCCAGCCTCGTCCGTTTGAGAACTGTTCTTTATCCACCGGCTACTATGATTCTAGGCTTCATAACAATTATTATTCATAAACAAAAACCACATTTAATAAAAAAATAGGCAATATATCAAAATCAAGCCAAGAAATTAAAATAATATTTAGCAATTTTTACTCATAAAAAAAGTTAAAATAATTTCATTGAATTTTTGAGTTACATAAAGAGAAAGGAGTTTACTTACGCACAAATAAAATTTTCCTGATATTGCGATACTAGAGTCATAACACATGACGACAGCTTGGAATGTACACATACTATATCACATGACACAATTCCAACAACCGCTGAAAAAATTTATATTCATCAATAAAAAATAAAATCAGTCAATTTGCCAATGTTAATACATTCAATATACCCATTATATATAATGTTAGTACATTATATTAACGTTATATTTCATGGTAAGAATTTTATTGTACAGTAATACAAGTATATTTTTATGAAATAAAAATTGAATATGGAATTTGTTTCTCCGTTCAGTACAAGGTGATTTGAATGTAAAACGTAAATCAAACCAAAGGCTAATGTAGTGATCACCCCCCTCGCGAAACGTAAACAAAGCGGATGCATACGAAAGTTTTGTGTGATACATTGCTACGCTGAGTCTGATAGCGGCAATCGAACTCTCCGCGTCAGTCTGATAGCGGCAATCGAACTGTAAACATCTCACGAATCACTCGTTGCTGTTTTAAGTGTAACATGCTTGTATTATTCGTTTATTTCTAAGTATTTTATAATTTTTGTAACAATTGTAAACGTTAATGTTATTAAAGTAGTATGAATTAATTTATATCATTTCTATGTATATTTAATTTCGACATTACTACAGCTAACAATAACTATAATACAGAATCAAACAACATTTCATAGGAAAGGGAAAAAATCTGATAAAGTGTAATATAAATTGTTTTATTGAAAACAATTTATAAACAAGTACATTATAATTGTTTATCATATCAGAAGTATTGTTAAAGACTGTTGACATACGCAGATGTGCATGATTCTCAATGCCTTTCATTAATAGACTGGTAAATCTGTTCATGAATGCTTCTAGACATTATACTAAAAATACAATGCTCATGTTATGTGCTATCTTTAGAATTATCTCCTTTGTAGACCTTTCAATGCCTGCAATACTATTCTCTAAAATAGAGATGCAGAGATCACCGATACCTTTCTTTTGGTATGTTCATTTTCTTCAAAAAACATAACACATTGAGGGAAACATAATAAACCACAAGGAATTCCGTTCAAAAGTTTGTTACTATAAAATAAAAAAATAATAATAAAAAGCTTTACCAATATACACAAAAACATTGTGATGAACAGCTAACACTACTCCAACAAGACTATGACTAGTTTTATGACTGCCAACTAGTTTTATGACAGAAAAGTTACGAAATCGTTAAGTTATAAGTAACTAACAGTAAACACGCAGCCTGAGGAACATGAAATTCTAGAATATTTCCTCCATAGTCAACCTCAACGTCATCTATCACTAAGAAACTGAAGATATTGTTTACAGAAATCAATCACGAATATTTACTACAAACAGACATAGTACATACAACTAGTATTTCTTTCTGTTATCTAAAAATCAAGGAAAAGCTGCTACTAAAAATACTTACAGGTAAAACAGGTAAAGATAACATATATGTTGTTGTTGTTTCTTATCCCACTTGGCTGGCCAAGCCCACGAGCCCATACGTGCTCATGATTGAAGGGGAAGGAAGCAGCTTCTGTTGTGATGGAGCACCCCGTAGGTAGAAGTCTGACTTTGGCTCCGTAACGCTCTTGCAGTCATAGGAGACCGGGACCTACGGCTTAAAGTGGATTCCGAACCACTACAAACATCCATGGCACCGCCGGGATTCGAACCCGAAACCTGTGGCACCGAGCGCCGGACACTCGGCCATTCAGGTCCCAAATTTGCCAACGGCACGCGGTGTTCCCAGGTGGTCACCCACCCAAGTACTGACCGCGCCCAATGATGCTTGACTTCGGTGATCTAACGAGAACCGGTATATTCAGCATGGCACGGCCACATATATAAAATAACTAATCTCTTCCTGTCTCTAAATGCTGCCACATTAGTTTGAAAATTATTAATTCATCTTTTAGATACGGATACTTCCATCCACTGCAAATCAGCAATAGTGTAACTTATATTAAAACTTGGCAATCAATGGGATACTATAATTATCTTGCATTTTATTACTCACAGCACTTTGTAAAATACGAAGTATCATTCCCGACAGATTAAACACACAATTTTACATCAAATAATTGTGTCAAGAACAATTCTTCTTCAGAGTAAATTTATTCACCATCAATAAACTATTATGTGTAACACAATATATGACTTCCAGACTTGAAAAGAGGAACAAAAATAGGCGCACTGATCCACGAAATGTTGAAATCATTCAACAAATTATGGACATATATAGAGTAATTTACAAACTTATTAATTAGTACAAATCAATGTTGCTCATCAAGATATACACTGTCTGGTGACCAATTGGCTAGCGCTTTGGCCTTCGGTACCATAGGCTTTTCAGGTTCGAATCCTAACTGTGGCATGGATGTTTGTTAGTGGTTCGGAATCCACGTTAAACTGTAGGTCCCGGTCTAATTAGACTAAAGTGTGTACAGTATGATCGTAGAATTACAAATCAAACCAAACCATCAAGATAATCAAATAATACTTGGAGAACATGTAATTCACAGATAAATTAAACTCTTTGTTGCCGAAACCTATCAATCAGCATTAATAAAAATAGAGAAAGAAATATTCCTACTAGTCCTAAACCTATTTATAAATAACATATCTCACAACCCATTAGATCGATGAAATTGTCTTTTCTATGCAAGAAGAGAAGCTTCAGTTTTCTCGCATTAACCATAAATAAACATCTCAAAAAATTATTATATAGATCTCGAAATTTAAAATATTAATAAATATTGAAAAATCATTTTTAAAGGAAATAAAACAGGGACAGATTAAACGATTTCAAGAGACGAATCAGGTTGTTGTTGTCGTATCCCTCATGGAGGGAAGGAAGAGGGGTACAGCTTCTGTTCTGATGGAGCACCCGTAGGTAGAAGTCCGACTTCTGTTACGTAACGCTCTTATAGTCATAGGAGACCGGGACTTACGGCTTAAAGTGGATTCCGAACCACTACAAACATCCATGGCACCGCCGGGACTCTAACCCAAAACCTGTGGCACCGACCGCCAGAGCGCTAGACACTCGGCCATTCAGGCCCGACCAATCAGGTAGTATATTTATAAGGAAACCATTAACCGGCAAAAGTAAGTCAAAGGCCTCATCCTCACAGGGACTAGCATCTTAATTCTTATTTTTAATTTTTTTAATTTTAATATTTTTAATCTAATTTCTTATTTTTATTATCTTAATTTCGAGGGACCAATCAGGTAATATATTTATAAGGAAACCATTAACTGGCGAAAGTAAGTCAAAGGCCTATCCTCACATGGACTACCAATTGTATATATATATACAAGAAACCAAACATAACTTGCATCAAACAAAACTATCGCAATACTCTAAATAAATCCTTCCCTCTCGTTTCTAAGTACTCGATTTCATATCAAAAATAAAATTTTAATTTATGCTGCATTATTTTATCCCATAAATACACATGCATGTATGGTATTAGCGTCTGCTGCCTAATTTCACATCAAGCTATTAAAAATGCTACAAATTACTACTCTACGATAAATAATAGATAATGAATTCATGAGAAACACTAAAATACACCAGGCAATAAACCTTCCTCTACGATAAATAGCTAATGAGCGGCTATTCATAAAAAGCACTAAAATACACTCAGCAATAACCTTCCACATTTAATGAACTTTCTCTTCTAAAACTTTTTTTCTTAATCCTTACTATACTATTGATAAGTACTTGAAATAAAAAAAAAAAAGAAGAAACGTAAGTCATTTTCTTTCATTTTTAGTGTCAGAGATGTAATTTTCTATAAGAGGAAGACATGTAAAAAGTACATCATGACATATTGTACAACATGACAGTACAACGCGACACATTGTTTTGCAATGGATAATTTCTGGAAATGTTTTTAAATGCCTACGAGTGTTAGTCAATAACAATATAATAGATTTTTCCTATCCATATCAAAGTTTGCTTGTTGACCGATTTTTCTTTTTTAATTTTATTTATGTGATATATTTTAATAAATTTGTAGTTTTTGTTTCTAATTTAACTGGCATTGTTTTCGCTCTAATATACGATCATTTTCTGCGATGCTCACATTGTTATGAATAAAATAATTTTCGCTATTTTAGCTCATGATTATATTCTAAATAGCAATGCATCTTTTTTAAACATAAATTTTAATAATTCTTATAAAAAGTCTTTTTTTACAATTTCTCATGGAATTTTTTTATAACAATTCTTAATATTAATAGGATTTTCTTTATTTAATGCATAGCATTGCAGTGAGAGTTATCCTAAAAATGAATATATTTCGGATGTAGTGGTTATTATTTTTAGAAACTATTTATTAACAATTTGAAAGCTAATAGGCATGATATCATTTTTGTTTGTCCACACTCGGGCTCTGGTTCAAATGGGAATTTCAATGGATTCATGGGAATAGTTATTTATAGAAAACGTATTATAATGAGCGACTGATATCCGAGTGACTAGTAGTGCAGATGCCAAACGTTTCGGGTTCGAGTCCCAGTGGTGCCATAGATGTTTGTAGTGGTTCGGAATCCACTTTAAGCCGTAGGTCCCAGTCTAATATGATTACTACTACTACTACACCACACCACGTCACTGTGCCTAGAGCTGATTTGCCCCTTTACAGTTTGGGAATGATGAAGGGGAGAAATATGATTGAGCTTTGTGACGCTTTACAGTCATATGAGACAGGGAGCTATGGCTTAAACTGGATTCCAAATCACTACAAACATCCAGGGCACAGCCGGGATACGAACCAGAAACCTGTGGTACCGAGCTCCAGAGCACAGTCTAATAGGACTGCAGAGCGTTGGGCGTAGAGCTAACAACTCTACCCCGTAAAAAGAAAACATCTCCTGTCTTGAAATCTGCTAGTAGGTAGACGGCCTTGGCCCACCACAGGGTTGTAGCGATAATGATGTATTATAACGAATGAAAGATTTCTTATAATACGCCGTATAAAAGCAAATTTAAAGCGAGTTTTCAGAGTATCAACAAAATAAAATTAATGCTTACCGGTCAACACAAGAACAAAAAAGATCTTCATCTCTGTCGTGGTTTCTGTTGTAGAATGCTCTGCTGGCAAAATTAAACAGTTATCTTTTCATTTCGACAAGGTCACAGTTTTATTTGGAGAGCAATCTCATCAGCATCTGCAGTTGACTCTTCCGAAATCAGAGAAGTCAAAAGGGCAACTGAAAGGTTAGAAAATCAACATTAAATTATGTGAAGTGTGGGAAGTAAATTTAATTATCCTATAAAATTCAAGTATTTGTATATAATAATGTGCCAACTACTCTTTATTATATACAAATACTTAAATGCTGGAATTCCTTACTGTGAAATTATAACACATTCTGTTGATACTGCGTATCAATGAATTGGAATTATATTTTAAAAATAATTTTGAATATAATATAACTACTTTATAGAAAATTTGAGAAACAAATAAAAAAGAAGCTGCTTCAAATATTTGTGTGTCAACTGCTATCTTTATATATTCTATACGTGTGTTTGTCACTGAATTTCTCCTAAATGGCCGGACCGATTTTGATGAAATTTTGTGTGTGTGTTTGAATGGGTCCCTGGGTGACTGAAATTTGCAATTGGACCTAGTAGGTGGTGCTGCAATCGTTGTACCTTTATATATAATTCTTCTCTACGTGTGGTTGTTACAAAACTCCTCTTAAATGGTGCGACCGCAAGACCAATTGGCTAGCGCTCTGGCCATTGGTTCTTAAAGTTCTTAAAGTTTGAATCCTGATGGTGGCATGGATGTTTGTTAGAGGTTCGGAATTCACATTAAATGGTAGGTCCCGGCCTAATTAGCCTACAGAGTGCACAAAATGACCGTAGAGCGACAAACCAAACCAAATCTCTTCAACTGCTGGACCGATTTTGATGGAAATTTTTGGTGTTTGAATGGGTCCCTGGATGGTTTAGATTCCCAATTGAACCCGGTAGGTGGAGCTGTAATCGGGTTCTGCTGTATGTGTTTGTTACTGAACTCCTTCTAAACGGCTTGACCGATTTTGATGAAATTTTTGTGTGTTTGAGTGGATCCCTGGATAGTTTGGATTTATAATTGGACCCGGTAGGTGGCGATGCCATCAGATTCCAGGATTTTTTTTTATTTTAAGGGCAGGTCAATATCTGTCTGTCGGGCCCTCTAGTTTTGATATATTATTAACGTTGGTTATATTATATTTAACATTAGTTAGAATTGTGCGATTATGAAGCCTCTAATTCATGTTCCTCGTTTGCTGAATGGAATATGTGCTTTGGACTATTACCTATTGAAATGTTAAGAAATATGAAGATGTATTCACTTTTATAAATGTATTAAAAGTATAGCATAAATTAAAAATAATTAAGAAAGAGAATATCTGCAAGCTAGTGAAAGTAAAAAGATGATGAATCATTGACAGATGAGGCTTGCGGTATTGAAACTTCAGAAGGAAATCTTGAATATAAAGGACGATTAGTTAAGGGCATTAGAACAGACAGAGACCAGGACAAGGTTACTGTAGAAAGTAATATTTCGAGATGAATAATTTCTTATATTTAGAGAAAAGTACTACGTCTGTTTTGTCAACATTTAATTTTATTTTTCATTTGATTAACCAATCCTCAGAGTGTAAATAATTTTGAAAAATGTGTGTAATATAATACGAGTGGCAACAAACTAGTTGTATTCAGCTTAGAAAGCCATATCTTAACACCTCTAAATTGAGGTAAGTCATTAATGAAGAGATTGTGAAGAACAGGACTTAAAGCAGGTATACCTCTAGATTCTCTATTAATAGTTTGTATAGAA